TGGCTTCTTGAAGTATCCATTTTTATACCAGTTAGAATAAGGCACTGTACTAATTTCAAAATGTTGGAGGTTCAGCAAGGATGAAAACCACCAGATAGGGAGGAAAGGATCTTCCTCTTGTAGAACTCAGAGAAAAGTGGGGCAGATGTGTCCCTCCAGAATTAACTAATCACCCTCATCACACCCTGGGGCCATTTTCCTCTCCAGCTGTTCCCAAGGGTCAACTCTGCTGCCTCTCCTTCCACTGTCAGCCTGCTCGAGGGCCGTTCTCATTCCCAGGTGGGAAAAACGTACCTTTGATGCCTAGAAATTAAAAGAGTAATTTAGAGTCTTAGGGCATGAGTTTCATTATAGTTCTCCATCCCTGAGCTTGCTCTATGGACAAACATTCTATGCATATTCGGAAAGTATAATAGTTTTGATCTTGGGCTAAGGATTGAGATTTTCTCAGCAATGTAGCTCAGGCACCTTTATGATCTTGGGAGAAATACTTAAAATTCTTTTTTTTTTCTTTTTTGTTTGAGATGGAGTCTCACTGTGTCACTAGGCTGTAGTGCAGTGGCGCGATCTCGGCTCACTGCAACCTCCGCCTCCCAGGTTCAAGTGATTCTCCTGCCTCAGCCTCCCAAGTAGCTGGGACTACAGGCGCGCACCAACACGTCCAGCTAATTTTTGTATTTGTAGTAGAGACAGGGTTTCACCATGTTGGCCAGGATGGTCTTGATCTCTTGATGTGGTGATCTGCCCACCTTGGCCTCCCAAAGTGCTGGGATTACAGGCGTGAACCACCGCACCTGACCTTAAAAGTTCTAAGTCTCAGTTTCCTTATCTATAAAATGGGGATTAAAACAATATCTAGTGCCTGGGATATTGTTGTGGGATACTTTGTACCAACATTATTCTATAAAAATATAATGCAAACCACTTATGTAGTTTATGTTTTCCATAGCTATCTTTAAAAGGTGTAATGAAATTAATTTTAATGTATCTTATTTGACCCAGAATATCCAAAATGTTATCACGTCAACATGAAATCAATAATAAATATTAGTGAGATATTTTACATTCTTTTTATTCATATTAAGTTTTCAAAATTCAGCCTGCACTTTACACTTAACGGCACAGCTCAGTTTGAAACAATAGTCATGTGCCACGTAATGATGTTTCAGTTAACAACCAACTGCATGTACAGTGGTGGTCCCATAAGATTTTTATACTGTGTTTTTACTATGCCTTTTCTATGTTTAGATATGTTTGGATGCCAGATACTTACCATTGTATTACAGTTGCCTACAGTATTCAGTACAGTGACATGCAGTATAGGTTTGTAGCCTAGGAACAATAGGCTATACCATATAACCTAGGTGCGTAGTAGGCTATACCATCTAGGCTTGTGTAAGTACACTATGATGTTTGCATGACTACACATTTCTCAGAACATATTCCCTTTATTAAGCAACACGTGGCTGTAGTTTAGCCATACTTAGCATTCAACAAATGCTGGCAAGATTATTGTTATTTATTTTAAAACATCAAAATTTGGGTTGACAAACATTTGTACTGCACATTTGCGTATATTGCCATGTGGGAAGATGCCTCAGATAAGATGCCTCAGATACATTTTTTTCTATTTCAAAAGAGTAAGGGGTTGACTTTAAGAGTTCTCAGCTATTTCCTGCAAGTGGGCCTCCCTGGGTTTCAGAATGAGGTCAGTTTGGTGGTTTATGGTCGTCTTTTCTTTGGGAGGTGGGAAGGGAAACTGAATGTGCCTCAAGTATTGCGTGCCTGTCTCTGTTTTTGGCTCTTCTCTGTTTAATTATTTGGAACTGGAACAACTTGATTTTAAAACAAAACATATGGTCTGAGAGTAATTGGGAGGACATTTGCTAGTGATGTAGCACTGAAGGTATGTATCAAGTTGAGGCCCAGGCTTGCACCACTTGCTTGCTTAGGTATTGAGTATTTTCCTTCACTTCAAATTGTGTTCTTTCCCAGTTCTTAAACCCTTGTTTGGAAAGTCACAGTGAAAGCAGGAAATACAGGAGCAAGATTGTAAAGGAAATTGTGAGTCTTCTTTAAATCCCCTACTTTTTTTCTCTCTCCTCTTTATGGAAAACCATTGGTTTCCAAGCTATTTATATGGCTCGTGAATGAAAAAAGTTGTTTCAAAGTGCCAAGAGGAGAGAGGAAAACTTTATTTAAAAAGGAGAATGTGGACCCACCATTGAATTTCTCTGTTCTTCTGCTTAACTCCATTGCTGACACCAAAGTAGGGAACAGAAGTTCCACAGCCAATGCTTATGTGAAGGCAAGATTGTTGTCTCTCTTTACCTTTTCCACACCCCTTTGCTTGCTGGGGGAGGAGTATATGATATGCTGATCATGTACCATGTAATTCCAGCCTGAATGCCTCAACTTTTTATATCATGGGGGCAAAGGGGAATTTATCAGGACTGGTAAGAATATGTATTTCTCTCGTTCAAGTCTCTGCTCCTCTACTTAGAAGCTATGTGCCTCTGAGCAAGTTATTTAAACTGTCTAAGCCTCATTTTCCTCTTTCCTAAAAAGGGGATAATAATAGCGCCTATTTCAGAGTAAAACTGTTGTGATGCTTAACAGAGACATTGCACACAAAGCACTAAGCGCAATGCCTGGAAAGTAATAAAAACAATTCTTAGCGATCAGGCACAGGTCTTCGGCAGGAACGTGTCCACCCCATCAGCAGCGGGAGGGACAGTGAATACTGCATCAGGGAAAATAACCAAACATTTATCCATGAGGAGCTTCAGCATTGGAAAGTCAGCCATTTCACTGGGTTGTGTTTGATGTCAGTGCGTTGAAGTCAAAGCCTTAACTCTGTGCTTCTCTGCTTCCTAGGTCTCATGGGAGCCTGGACACTCACTTGTCAGTGGTCGTTCTCTTTTGCCTGGCACCTATAAATATGAGAAGAACATGCTGAATTGTTTTATTTTTGTACTACAGAGCCCTAAGTACCTTTGAGTCATTTGGGGATTCACTTGTTTTGGATCTGAAATGTAAAATGAAATAGCACTCCGACCAGGGCTGAGCATGATTTTTCTGTTGGGATAGTGAAACGAGAAATCTTTCTGAACACTTTCCAAGGAGTCCGCTATAAGAGCAAGGGGTAGGAAGAAAGGGGTCTTCAGTTCTTGCCAAATCAAGGACATGCTTTTCTGTATAGGGCTCAGATTGTATTGTGTGTTGCCTTGCTTCAATGTCAGATGAGTGTCCAGAGCTTTGGGAAGGTCTGCTTTTGAAAACACCACTATGTTTTCGGAGTAGCTGGTTGTCTTTTGTCAGTCCCCTTTTCTTTCTGCTCTGCCATCTGTCCAAGTCCCATTTGGATTTATTAGTCATTGCTTACAAAGTATCAGGAACTCCCTGCTGAGAACCATGAAACCCTCGCCCAGTGGGCAGGTCTCAGATTTCCCTGGAACTGTAAAAAATAACCCCTCTCGCTCATGTTTTTCTTGCATACCCCTCAGTGGACCACTTTCTCCACATTAACTTAATCAAGATGTTAGTAAAATAAACAGTGTGCTGCCATCAGACTGAAACTTCTTGTCTCTTTTCAGTGTTCAGAAGGGAAATTGAGAGTTGCTATTGATAATAAACATGAAGCATATCTTTACTCATGGCCAATTACACACAGTCCTGATCATTGAATTTTTAGTGGGTGGACAGCCCTGTACAATGTGTCATCAAGTCTGTGTCACCCCAGTTACAAAACACTCCATTGTTTTCTATATCAAGGGGGAGAAAACAAATTATGAGATACCATGGATTTTAAGATACATCCCAATTTCAGATGTGTTCAAATGTGGGGAAAATATGTGTATCTTATAGCAGATGGAATACAGTGAGAATTAATTAAAATGGAAAGCCCTAGGCCGGGAGTGGTGGCTCACACCTATAATCCCAGCACTTTGCGAGGCCGAGGCGGGAGGATTGCTTGAGCCCAGGAGTGTGAGACTAGCCTGGGCAATATAGTGAGACCTTGTCTCTACAAATAATTAAAAAATTAGCCAGGCATGGTGGCTTGCACCTATGGTCCCAGCTACTCGGAAGGCTGAGGCAGGAGGATCGCTTAAGCCTGGGTAGTTGAGGCTGCAGTGAACTGTGATCGAGCCACTGCTCTCCAGCCTGTGCGACAGAGTAAAACCCCATTTCAAAAGAAAAAGAAAAAGAAAAACAGTAAAATGGAAAGTCCTCCGGGTTATCACCTGTTCCTCTCCTGGCATCCCCCCAGTCCTCAACACAACTAATTGACAGAATGGTGAGAGGTGTGGGTATGTATGAGATGTGCCTCTGCCTTGGGGCTGAATGTGTAGCTCAGTCCCATGTGTTGTATACTCTGTGTATATATGAAGTTGTGGAACTGAGTTGAAACCAAGAAGGGTGGTGGGAGGTCCTCTGAACTAAAATTTACACAATCGAAGTTTCTGAAAACAGAACTTAGGAATTTTCTTTGCGTTACATTGATAAGATTCTTGTTACTTTTTGAAGGCATGATCAAAGAGGGACATCTGAGGCTCTGCATGCCCCTCCCTGACCTGACCCGTTTGTAATGGCTCAGTGCTGAAGAGAACATGCCACCTCTTCTAAGTTCATGCCTGGAGGGCTTATCTGTTTTCCAGTGACCGCAGGCCTCAGATCCATGGGGAATCTGTTTCCTCCCCTACCCTAAAAGGCAGCATATTAAATGTTATTGATAATTTCATTGTATTCAGGATTCTACCTAATTATTATTCTTCATAATCTGAATGACTTCTAACCAACTGTGTGTCTCCAGCCCTAGTGCTGTAAAAATTTTAAGCAGAGGGATTATGGTATTTATTTTCCTGGTAAAGATGAGTGCCCATACTTTAGGAAAAGCTATTTCCCAGCCAGGTAAAGCGACAAAAGAATTGACTGAAAAATTTCTTCTTTATATTAGCGGCATTTTCCCTTATATTTACACTGCTTTCTTTCTTTTTCAGTTTTTGGGAATAACGTTTCTTGGAATTGGACTGTGGGCATGGAATGAAAAAGTAAGTTGAATATGAAAATGCACACATTGTGGTTGTTAGAGGCTGCACACCATATTATGTATTATCCCCGTTTCTCTTTGACAGCCACAGAGTATAAACATGGCTTTTTAACGAGAAAAAGTGTTGGTGGAAGATTAATGTCATATTCTCAAAGACACTTTAGGAATTGTGCCTAAATTGATGACTGCATCAAAATAATTACTGAAGTAACAATACCAAGTGCTCAACAGAGAATGTACGTTGGAATTTGATCAGTTAGCCAAAGATCGATGTTCCTATGGGATATTTTCTCACTCAGGCACAAGAATTCCAGTAATGATTATAAATATCACTAAACCACCTGTAGCCTTTTTTTCTCTTCTGCTTTTTCTCTTTAACCCTTTGGAAGATAACTCAAGCCATAAAAAACGATTTTTTTAGTATGTTACATGATAAACTATTAGCATGTGGATTGAAGGAAGTGGGATATAACTTCATGTTTGAGTATCGGATACACTCATCGCTAATGTAAATAATGGCTGCTGGTGGCAAATATTAAGAAATATACAGTTTATGATAAAATACAGTATAATAAAAGGGAAATCTGGAAATACAGAGTAATCTACGTGACAGTGAAGATACAGTGTTCTGGGCAGTTTCTGCTCTAAGAAATACACTCATGCAGACATCGCCTGTGTCCATACCTCTCTTCCCATCGCACCTTCCGATTTTTCTCTACAGCTTCCCCTACTGAGGCCACCACTGGAATTCAGCAATGAATATAAACCGCCCTCCCCTTTTTCCTTCCTTCTTTGCAAATGAAATCACCTGCAGCATTTTATCTATCCTTGTATCTGGCTATACACAAAAGCTTTATTATCTCCCACCCTAAGGGCAAGGGGATGGATAGACTGGTTAAAAGTTGCCATAAACTAAAATTTAGCTTAAATTTTCCCAGAAGACCATTCTTTGATCCCATAGGTATTTCACCCTCTAGTCTGACCCTGGTCTGAAGCTGAGAGTTCCTTTGAAGTGGTAAGTGCATTAAGAAAGGAGAGAAAAACTGGGAAGGTCCAGTGAACAAAAGCCCCTCAGAGGCCAGTAGGCATTTCCACAACTGAAATAATGTTCGGACAGACCACATAAAACAAAACTCAAAGCAAATCCTGAGTTTTGCAAATGAACCATCCTGTATTTATTTACAGAATTCTTCTACAGAATGTAAAATGTTTTATGGAAAATGAACCACTTCTTAGCAACAAGAGTAACTGGGGCTACCTGGAGTTTTGAGGCAGGGCAGTAATTACGTATGAGATGAGACAAATTAAGCTCCCAAAACCGAGATAATTTCATCTCTAGAAACTTTTACATTGAATAACGGTTGGTCTTGTCTTGGATTATGGTTACTTTTTGCCTCAAGCCTGTTGTGAGCTTGGAAATTTGTGGAATCTGGGAAGTTGGTTAGATGCCAGATAACATAGCTTTTTATAACTCCTTCAATAAGAGTCCATTTCTATCTGCTTTGAAAAAATGCTGGAAGGCATTAAATGAACTAATTGTCTGTTCTAGCAATAAACAGCAGTTGGTAATTTTGAAGTTTTTTTAATTTTCTCTTTATGAAATATAATTATCTTTTTGTTTCATCAGTTGCCTCAAATGCCTCTTCTCTGGTAAAATCACAAACTTCTAAAACTGGCAGTGTCATACAAATATCAGAGCAAGGGGATGTTGTGGTCTTTAGGGAGGGATGAAATAGCAGTTCCTTTTTTGTAAGGGCCACCATCAGCCAATAGAAGATTTCTCTTGAGATCCGAAGTTAACCTGGCCAAGGTTACCCACCTCTGTGTAGCAGAACTCCATAAGCAGGGAGCAAATAGAGGCAGCAGAGGGTGAAGCCGGTGTTAGCTATGCACTAGCCCAGTTTGGTGAGTGCTGGCCATGTGGGGCCTGAGTGTGGGGAATACAATGAGGGATGCAGAGTCCCTGTCTCATGGAGCTTGCATTCTATTGGGTCACTAACGAAAAGCAGTCACTGCCCAAGTATGTTTGTCCAGGTACTGGTGAGTGCTGGCAGGAAACATCAGGTTAGAGAGTGGTGAGAAAAGGAGTCTTTTAGATGAAGTAGTTGCTAACAGCCTCTCTGAGGAGGTGGCATTGGAGCAGAGACCTGGATGAAGGAAGAAGGATCTGCAGGGTACCGGGGGAAGAACATTCTAGGAAGAGGGAATAGCAAGTGCTGTGGCCCTGAGGCAGGGACTTTGGTGACTCCAGGGAACAGCAGGAAGGCCAGTAGGCCTGGAAGGGAGAGAGCAAGGACAAGAAGAGGTGGGGTGTGTTGCCAGACAGAGGCCGGACTGGGCAGAGCCCTGCAAGAAGTTTGGATGTATTCTAGGTACAAGAGGAAGCCACTGGAGCATTCTGAAAAGTCTAATAAAACTTTTGTTTTAAGACCACTCTAGTTGCTGGGTGGGAAAAGAGCACAGCTTTGCGGCTTTGCTATGGACTGAATGTTTGTGTCTCCCCACCTTGCCAAATTAATTTGCTGAGGCCCTCATCCCCAATGTGATGATATTTGGAGGTGAAGCTTTAGGGGGGAGGTAATTAGGTCATGAGGGCGGAACCATCATGAATAGGATTATTAATGCCCTTCTGATAACAGAAGAGACAAGAAAGATTATTTCTCTGTCTGCCAGGCAAGGACATAACCAGGAAGAAAGCCCTCACTAGACACCGAATCTGCTAGCACCTTGATCATGGACTTCCCAGCATCCAGAACTACGAGAAGCAGATGTTTGTTGTTTAAGTCACCCAGTCTGTGATCCGTGTTATACAGCCGACTAAGACAGGGGTAAACAGACCTGAGTTCAAATACTGGCTCCTCCACTATTTGAGATGTGTGGAACCCACACATCTCATCTGTGTGATGTTGGCCAACTGAGTTAACTTCTCTGAGATGCCCTTTCCTTGTTTGGCAATAGGTATACTATTCTCACCTTATAGGATTGTTGTGAAGATTAAATGAGACCTCCCTCAACACAGTGTCTGCTGTGAGGCAGATGCCCACTGGAGACATGGCTTCCTCCCCTGGACACATGACCATAGGCTGTCCACTCTTAATATGGGGCAAGAACACAAAGGTAGTTTTGAAAGCAGCCTCAAATTTTGGGAGAGTTTCAGACTCCAATCTATGGACCAGAGAATTGGTTTTGTTTTGTGGTCTCTTGAGGAGGATGTAAAGTGTATTGATCTCCTTGGTAACTGCAGTGACTGCTCTCTCAAAGCCCTTTGGGTTAATTTCTGAGTTGGGCCAGGCCTCTGCTGGAGTGAGTTTTCAAGGTGTACCCCAGCCTGGTAGACAGTGTGGTGGACACTGTGCACCTGCTGAGCTGACACCACCAGCCCATGAATCAGTACATCCCCCAGACCCAGATGTGGCGACATTTACTTATAAGAGGCCTGGAGGGTAAATCCCCAAACCAGATCATAGCTGGAAGGATGAGATTTCCACTAGAAGAAACACATTTTCTTAACAGATAGGACTTTCAACATATTCATGTGAAGTACAGAAGCATTGAAAGCAAAAATGATTACCCCACACTTAATATCAGTCTGAGTTTTAAACCTAGGGCTAATATTGCAGTTCAACATTAAACATAATAATTTAAAGAATTCATTTTGTCTGAGTTCTAAATCAACTGTAAAGATGCAAAGGATGACTGTCTCTGGGGAAGCCGATTTATGTGCAATTGTTCAGTGATCATAGGATCTGCTGTTTGGAAGGAACATTAATAATTATGTGACATGAATCACCTCCACAACATCCTTCACAACATCCAGTGATAGTCAGCTCATTCATTCAAATAACATTTATTGAGCACATAGCATGGGCAGGGCTTGTGCTGAATTCTAGGGAAATGTGGATGACGTGTCATAGTTTCAGTCCTCATGGAGTTTATCCAGTTGTAGGAAGGGTATGTGCATATACATAAAATAATACATTGCAATAAATGCTACTTAGGGGTGTATATATGTTTAATGGTTCCCACAGCAAAGTGCTTACCATTTCCTTCTCTTTAGGTTGCCCTTCCTGTTGGAAAGACCTTCGTTCCACCAAATTAGAATCATGTCCCACTAGTTTTCACTCACTGATTCTGGATCTACCCTGTTGGATCCCACAGAATAAGTCTTCCCACATGTTAACCTGGGAAGTATGTCAGGGTGAGGTCCTGGTTCCTTCTGAGTTTCCAGGCTAAACATCTGCTTCTCTCTAGGTGGTCCTTGCAGGATGTGGGCTGGAACCCTTGTCCATTTTGTTGGTGCTCATCTGGCCCCGCTCTGCTGTGTTTTCTGCACCATGAAGAGGAAGCTTTAGGGGCTGTAGAGTGTGTGGCTGGATTGCGTCCTTTCTCCCCTGATCAGTCTAGCTTGGGATCCACTGTAGATTACAGTGTCTGCAGCTCACTGAGAATCCCAAGTTGGTTGCAGACCCAACTGGTTACCCCATCCACCCCACCTATGGCTGATTTTCAGAGGCAGTCGCAGGATTCCACGATGACACAGTGATATTTCAGTCCACCTGTCCACCTGCTGAGATCACTCCAGAGCCTCCATCTAGCATCTTCCCCATTCCGCCCAGCTTGGTTTCAGCTGTACATTTTGATCAACCTCCTCTCTCTATTCCTTCTGCTAAGGCAGACTGTCCAGTTGCCCCACCATGCCACCTGGGAAGATTCTGATTCAGTAGGTCCAGGATAGACACTGGGATGCTCTATTTTAACAAACCTCCTAGATTGTTGTGACTGCAGTCAAGTTTAGTTATCATCGATAAAAGCCAGTGATATGTCGTTGAGCGGGCCAAGGACAGAGCCCAGTGACATGTCACTAGAAATTTCCTTTGGGGTTGACACTTATTCACTTATGTGTGCCCTTGGGTGTCATCAGTCAAGCAGTTTCTAATCCATCTACTTGTCATTACATCAGACTATATTTCTGTGTCTTGTCTTTGTAGATAGATGGTATCT